GGGTCAGGCAGGTTTGGAGCAGTGGCCCCTTGGAGACCTCACTTGAAGGGAACAGGAGGGCTGGCACGGGCTCCGGTGCCATCGGGCTCCAGGCCACGCCTGGCTTTGGCTTTGTCCTCTGGCCGGCCTTGCTGGGCTCTTCACCCCTCAGCGGCTGCTCGGTGCCCGCTGCACCCCCGGAGTTGGGCCAGGCAAGGTCCACGGGGAGCTGAGCCATGTAGTCGCCTCCCACTCTGGGCGGCAGCGGCACCAGCACGACCTTTCTGGAAAAGAGCGGCATGTTTGCACGTGCAGCAAAAGCGTTGCCACGGCCACGCCCTCTGACCCAGAGTCCCTTTCCGGGAAGCCGGGGCAGCCCCGTGTCAGCCCTGGGGTCACCGGAGGAGCTGAGTAAGTGGATGAGCAGCCCGTGCTCATCCGCCCTCGGCAGAGAGGCTTCCTGGTGCTGTATCCGCTGGGTCCTCAGCATGGAGCCCCGAGCCTTCACACGGAGCTGCACCCCAGCCCATTTTCACGCTTTTTATGTTGAGACAGGGCCTCTCTAAGTTGCTAAATTGCTCAGGCTAGCCTCACATTTGCAATCCTCCTGCCTCAGCCTCCTAGAGTGCTGGGATGACAGATGTGCACCAACATATCAGACTGAGCGCTGTTATGGTTGATACACTGTGTCAACCTGGGGAGTCTAGAAGCTTTAACTAAGTAACTCAACAGCTCTACATCCTGGGGTGAGAAGGACATGCCTTACAGCTTGCGCTCTTGCTGCTTTTGCTGTCTTCTGCCCGCTTGGACGGTTGCCCCCGTGTCACGCCACCTGCCTTGGAGCCGGCTGATTCGGGACTGAAACCTCCACAAACCGTGAGCTTAATAAACCTTTCCTTCCTTAGTTTTGGGTGTCGGGTATTTTGTCTCAGCAACGAGAGAAGAGTAACTAAGACAGCCACCGTGTAGCTGAGCATCCGTGTGCCTCCGACTCCATCGCTGCGATGTGCTTGAGCTCCTGAGCCTGGACGTGGAGGATGAGACCCGGGGCCAGCTGGCAGCGCGAGGCCAGCGCCGGCCAGAGCTGCCCCAGCCCCGGATGGACGGAGGCCATGGGCCGAGCGGGGGACTGGGGCTGCCCCCGTCATTGTCTGCTCTCCGCTGGGCTGGGCCTTGCGCTACCTTTGTGAGGAGGGAAAGGAGATGTGAGTTCCCAGAAACCGGGGCGCGGCCCGGGCCGAGCCGGGGGAGAAGCGACCGACCCACCCCTTCCAGGGAACAGCCGCGGCCTGGCCAGCGCGGCCACCTCCTCCCAGGACGGCACCGCGGGGGGCGGGGCTGGCAGCTGGCGGGAGACAATGCGGCCCGCGGCCCCGCCCCCTCCCGGGGGGCCCTGGGGGTGCAGCCTCGCCGGCTCCGCCCCGCATCCCCAGCGAGCTCTGCCACCCTGGGCCAAGGGGGGCGATGCCTGCGTCCTGCCCCGGAGCTCAGCACGTGCGTGCAGCACTTCTCAAGGTGGTCCCGGATCGGCAGAGCCAGCCCACCCGGAGGTGTATTAGAAATGCAAATTCAGGCTGGGCGCGGAGGCTCTAGCCTGTGATCCCAGCATTACAGGAGGCTGAGGCAGGAGGAATACAAGTTCAAGCTCAGCCTAGGTAATTTAGTAATTTAGTAAGATCTCCTTTTGAGCCAGGCCGGCGTGGTGGCGCACCCCTGTCATCCCAGTGCTCTGGAGGGTGAGGCAGGAGGATCCTTGTGAGTTCGAGGCCAGCCTGGGCTACAAAATGAGCTCAACGCCAGTCTAAACTGCATAAGGAGACCCTGTCTCAAAAAGACAAAAAAAAAAAAAAAAAAGATCTCGTCTCAAAATAAAAATTTAAAAAAAGAAATGGGGTGTAGCACAAGGTGAGGGCCCTGGATTGGACCCGCAGAACCAAGAAAACAAATGAAAGTTTTCCCCTGGCACAGTGGCACACACCTGTAATCCCAGCCCTTGGGAGGCTGAGGCAGGAGAATCACTGCTAGTGCCCTGGCTGAGCTCAACTTTTTTTTTTTTTAGCTCAACTTTTAACCCCTGTGCTCTGCAGGGGAGCTCCAGGCTGCACCCTTAGGGACAGAGACCTTGTGGACATGGGCTGAGCAGGACTTGGGGCACACGTGGGTCACAGCCTGGGCTACTGGGCTGGGACGGGCTGGGACGCTGGAGGACGCCCAGGGCACCCAGGCTGCTGGGTCCCTGGTCGAGGAGGAGTGGTCTCTGCTGAGGCCTGGGCCTTGACAGCTAGTGGCAGTGAGGCCAGTGGGCGGCAGAGGCAGGGCGCAGCGCCACCTGCTGGAGGGACATCGTTGGTGACGCTGGGGGACATGTGCAGGGGCCCGCAGGCGGCTCAGAGAACTCAGCGGCGGGCACGTGTGTCTCCCGGGCATGAACCAAACAAGGCCACACGTGGATGTCTGCACCTGCCTGCCTGCTGCACGTGGGGACCCAGCCCCGTGGGGACCCAGCCCCGGGGCCGGGTGGTGACACTAAACTCTCTCCTTCATGCATTCCCCTTTTTTCGTTTGTTTTTTTGAGACAAGGTCCCACTGTGCAGCCCAGGCTGGCCTTGAACTGCAGCCAACCTCCTGCCTCAGCCTCCCGAGGGGTGGGATGACCAGCGCGCACCGCCACGCCTGGCTCCTCTATTCACTTATTCCACGTGGGAGGCCGCAGGAGTGGTCACAAGGTGAAGGGCAGACCAGCGAGGTCACGGCCACCCCCGTGTCACGCTGGAGACTTGGCGGGCCCATTGGGCTGGGACGTGGGACGGCACGGGGAGCGCCCATGGGTGGCCGGAGCAGGAGCGGGAAGACCCCCAGGAGGAGGGGGCCTGGGACTGTCAGCGGCCGGTCCCCCGCCCGCGCGGCCTGCGGTTTTCCTTAGCAGCCTGGTGGCGATGGCTTCCGAGAAGCCCCAGGACTTTCCTGCCAGGCCTCCCCAAGTTCCTCTTCGAGGAAGGGAAGTGGTGCAGTTTCTCCGGGGCTTTCAGTTTCTTTCTAAGAAGCCGTGCGGCCTGACCCGCCCAGCCCGGGAAGAGGAGAGGCCGGGGCTTTCCCGCCACGGCAGCCCAGGCCATTACAGGCTCCTGCTGGGCCTTCCGCGGAGGAAGCAACTGTGTGGGCCCTGCAGCCCCCGCAGTCCCCGCCCCAGCGCACACACGCGCGCGCGCACACACACACGCACACAAGCACACATGCACACGCCTGCGGGGAAATGTGGCCTCACGAGTGCAGGTGGAAAACTCACTTCCTCCGCCCTGGAGCCAAAAACTCTTCCCTTTTTTTTTTTTTTTTTGTCTATGTATTTTTTAAGGCAGGCTCTTATGATGTAGCCCAGGCTGACTTTGAACTCCTGGAGATCCTCCTGCTTCAGCCTCCCAAGTGCTGAGACTGCAGGTGTGCATATTGCGCCTGGCAGCCACAGGACCTTTAGACTTGTTGCCTGGCATGGGTCAGTAACCTGAGACTCAGAACAGCCCCGGCTGAGTGCAGGTGCTAACCGCAGGCTGGTGCTGACCTGTGCCGTGGTCTCCTACTGTATCTGCACAAGGATTGCTAGAGGAGTTCCAGCCACCGCCTGGCCACCGCCTGGCTCACACGGCCACTGGCCCATCCCAAAACAGTGGAGGACGTCAGGGAGCTCCGGGCTCCCAGCCCGCAGTTCCCTAAGTCACTGTGTCCAGCTGCTAAGGGCACTCACACCCCTGGGGCGTTCCAGAGCGGTTCTGAACCTTTGTCACCTTTTCTAGTTTCCTCCCACGTGTTATTTTTGACTTTCTGCTTTGCCAACTCATGTGTTTGGGGGACAGCAGGGGGAATCCCCACATCGTGATGCTGTCCCATTCACCTCAGTGCCTCAGCGTGTGACTCACACACTTAGGGTGGCAAGAAAATGCCCAGCTTGGTGGGGGTGACGGCATGGAAAGGGACACTTTTGTTTTGGCCTTTTTGAGACAAGGTCTCTGTAGTTCAAGCTGGCCTTGAACCTACTAGGTAGCCCAGGCTGGCCCTGAACTTTGTTTTTTTTTTTTTTTTTTTTTTTTTTTTTTTTTT